AACAAAATTTAAGTTTTTAGCAATTAAACAAAGTCCTTTACTACAAGTGTTAAGCCTGCTCTGAAAAGGCAGAAAAAGGGGAGGGATTCCTGGCCCTAGACTTGCTGGAGAATAAAAACGTATACCATACTTATTAGCCTTTTTTTTTGTGAAACATATGCAATTACAAGAATTTAATGTTCATGAAGATTTGAAAAAAGATCAATGTAGTTGTAATTTTCCATTCAATCTTTACTGTTTTCCAAGTTCTTAAAAAAAAATTCTAGAGAAAGAGAAAAGTGAAAAGTTTTATGAAAAAGGGAAGGTAAAAATAACCAAAATGGAATCCATGTCACACTGATCATGTATGTTCAATGGATTTTGTCTATGGAACACCTACCATTGCTAACATAAAGCCAAGAGGGAATTTAAATAAACTTTGTACAAAATTGAACTTTTTAGTTTTGAAAGGTATTAGTACAGATTCCTGTGCTAACACATTCCTTGAATACTATTTTATATTATCATTTTTAAGGTCATATATTTCCATCTCTTGAATTATTGACCAACACAGGTTTTAAGTTACAGAGTGCAGCACAAGCCCTCACAATATCATCAACATGGCGCAACATTGTTAGAGGAAAAACTTTCTTTCAAATTCTGTAAGTTTTCATTCTATATTTTCATAATGACTCGTTCAACGTGTGTTCTTAAGTTTGCTTTTTTTTTAGTTTTTTTACATTCAGATGCAATCATCTGACTTTTAAGACCTGGAGGAATTATCAAAGTACAAAATCTTAACAAAAGATCTTCCTGGATTTGAAATCCACGATCTGCTATGACTTCATCGTCATGCTTTAACAAGTCATAAGAACTACTATCTTTTGTTATAAAATTATCTGAACGTCTTCCACCATAACAATCAGATAAAAAAGTGATAAAACCACCAGGCGAAATTCCTACAAGAAACTTAAACGTATTGCTTTGTTTATAAAGAGACCAAGTTGAGGTTTGTGCTAAGAGAGACTTGGGTTGTTCAATAAGAATTCAGCACAATCAATAATTACACAACACTTGTAACCTGCATTCTTAAAAACCCTAGGCAAATTTTCCCTGATGGTTTCACATGGAAGCCATACAATAAGAGCACTTCCTAACACATTGTTTGTAAGTTTAATCTATGTGGAAAATATGTAAAAAGAAGTAGTAGGAGAAATTCCAAATGGTTCTGCAATGTCTTCATTAAGAATACCAAAACGAAGTCGCATATGTGTTACAATGTCACAATGAGAAAGTTTTCTATATTTAGTTGACTGAAATCTGCATTTTAATTTGCTAGTATTCTGAACATGTGGTGGTCCTCGCCAGTAACTAAGCTTTTGAAGAAATGGTATAATAAGTAAGAAGATGGTATTTAATAAATCTATTGTAGATATCCCTGCATAAAAGTTAATTTTTTTGTCTGTTTTAACTTTGTTGCATTGAAAAATCAATAATTTCTTAGTTTGATTAACTTGTTTTTGGTTCAGTTGCTTCAAGGATATATTCAAGAAATTAACTTTTTTTAACAAGAGAATCAATCAAAGATGTTTTACAATTACATCCTTCACACACATTTAGCAATGACTGGCTAGCATATGAATGTTCACATTTTGGCAGTGGTAGATAAATTGCAGTATCGTTATTATTACTGCATAACTCATTAGTATTATCTTTAGTTGTATTATTATAATAATGACAATAATAATTATTAGTGTCATTATATTCTGTGCTAATACCTTTCAGAATTAAAAAGTCTTTCTTGGCTTAATATCAGTAGAATTATATCCCATAATTAAAGTAGGATCTGGATCAGTAATGGTAAGTGTTCCATCTACAAAATGCATCGAACATACACGGTCACTGTTGCATGGATTCCATTTTTTCTTATTTTTACCTTCCTTTTTTAATAAAATTTTCTACTTTTCTCTTTCTCTAGAATTTCTTAAAGAACTTAGAAAACAGTAAAAATTGAAAGGACGATTACAACCACATTGTTCTTTTTTCAAACCTTTATGAACATTACATTCTTGTTTTTTCCACTTCAAAAGTTTATAATGGCTATTTGAACACCCTATTACTGCACAGTTACCTCTTGCCATCGTGTTAAATTCAAAAGATGAGATAAATACAAATAAATACTAATTCAAATACAGATATTTAGGAAGTTTTTTTGACTTTTACCCACACAATTAGAGTTCAGTCTCTGCCGTGGAAAATGGTAGAATTTAAGTTGAACAGGTGTATTAAAAAAATGAAAATAAAAATAATAGCTACTATTAACTAGTCATAATACAAAATGTTAATTTAAGTTGAAGTTTCAAACTTTAAATGCTCATAGTCCAAAACATTGATGTAATTGTTTCAGAGTGAGATTTTAATGTTTGCTACAAGATTTCTTTTGGTACAATTCTGAAAGTGTCTACGATGTTCACTGACAATTTGAAGAAGAAAGTAAAGTTGATCCTTGTCTTTGGTTAATTTTTTATTAAAATCTTGTATGAGGGCCACACCTCAATCAGCCCTATTGTTGACAACAGCTAGACTTTTTAATACATGTAATGCTCAGTGGTTGGCTTTGTTTTCTTCCCACTGAAAGATTCTTTATAAAGCAAGGACTTACCAAGTTTCAGGTACTGGAACAGTTTTTTAGAATTGGTTTGGCAGAACTGTTCCAAACCTTGCTTGCCAAGAAATGCATTAGATTTTATGGTTGATTTTTTTGATGGATGATCTGGAGCTACTTCTTTCATAGTGCAGTCATCAGTCTCTCGGAATCATGTTGTATTGTAGTGTCAGGGTTAATCCAACTAACTCCTCTGATATGTACCATAGGTGAAGCTCAAGCTTCTCACTTGTAGCAGCAAAAATAGGTTAATACTCACTGAAAATGTAGCCAGATCTTGGATACTGCGTTTTTCTGAAGTCATGTTAAACTGGCAATGGAACTCTTTCTGAAGTCATGTTAAACTGGCAATGGAACAGCCACATTTTGATCGTGTAAATAACTTTTAACATACATCGTGTCTAGTGCATGAAACATAAGATCTTTATTGAGCCTCTGCTCAATTAATGAGCATGCACTAGCACAATAACCAGTGTTTGATGCTGTTGTGTTCTAACACAATGCTGCGACCTGATCTCCAATACCCCAAACACTCAATAACTGCAGATGTTTTTGCTTTACCTGTTTGGGATAATAGTTTTAAATTGCTTAATTTAAATAATTGCTTAACACAAATACCCAATATCAAGACTGGCAGTCTTGATATTGGGTGATATTGGAACACGATCAGCATGTTCATGAGATGTCAAATCTTCCATGAGTTTGCCGGCCCAGTGAACTGTTAAAGACACGCTTGTTGAAAACTCTGATCTGAGATTTTCAGATTTTGTTGTTCAATGAATTGCTCTAGACCTTTGCGTTGAGTTCAGATTTATGTTTAAACTGTTCACATTGTTCCCAAGACTTGATCCACTTCACCGACAACATATGCTGCGTTTCAAGATGAGATCTTAATTCTATCTAATGCAGATGTGAGTCTAGGAGACATTATTGTTTATTCTAGCTTTTGTAGGTGTTATTAATTCGACACCTTTACTATTGTCTATTTTTTCATCATATTTATCCATTTCTTCTAATGCACTGGATGAAGTTGTTGAATCAGATTCTAGAACAACCTTTTTTGAACATGCTTCCAGTACTTCTTGTGATAATTTGTGATGCTTCAAATCCTCCCCTTTTCATTCCTTAGCACGTTTTCTTCTATGTGTTTCTATTTTATCAGAGGCACCAATTGAACCTGGTCAACCTTTTTTGTCTCTGAGAGAGGAGGAATGCTCTGTCTTTAGCAATTTGAAATTATATTGAGTGCATTGGAATGTGCAATACCAAAAAGATCACAAAGACAGTCAATAAATTCATCCTCTTTCATCTTATGTCCTTCTGTCTTTCAATTTTTATGTTTCAGAAGACTTTTCCATCAAACAAACATTGCCTCCAAATCTTCTATATAATGTTTGGCTACTCAAACAGGTATTCCAGCTTTGCTCCAAAATGCTGACACAAATTCAATAACCTTTCTACTAGACTCATGAATAGTTGGTGTTTCCACTTTGTGGAGATGTATAAAAAGACCAAAGACTTGGCGATTTGATGGCAACTTTGGTTCAAGAATTTCAGATTCATAGAAGCCAATTGAACAACAGAAGAACACATTGTTTACCTCTAGTTTCTGTTATATATCCTGAAAAAAAAATGTTCTTACTGCTCACTTAGTGCTTATAATTACAGAGTTTACAATTATAAAGTATTAGTACATATTACATATTACAGAACTAATAAGTTCATTGAATAGAGAAATGCTATAACTATTTTATGTATAATAAATATCATTTTTAGAAATTCAAAGAAGAAATGAATTTAATGAATAGAGCATGCCTTTATAAAATTATTCTTTTTGAATTAAAATTACTAAAATACTTGCTAAATTACTTTGTAAACAATTTTTTTTAGCAGAAAATATCAACAGTTAAGATGGCTGCCAGTCACATGTCCAAAGAACTGGAATAAGATTATTATGTTCTCAGAGAGACTATAATATTTTTAAAAACTGAAGTTAGCTGATATAATAAATCTTAAACATAAACAGGCAGAATGTCGCAATTTGACGAATTAGACAATTTCACAAAAATTTCAAGCTCCAAGGGCCACCCCTAAATATTGTCCTATTGCAATAATATTTTGGATAGACTTTTTTTTTCATATATGGCACAGGCTGAAAAGGTGCCAGAAGATGATTTCAAATTTTTTATTTATAAAGGCTATCCTAATATATATATATATATATATATATATATATATATATATATATATATATATATATATATATATATATATACACACACACATATATATACATATGTCGAATCTTTTTTTATATAATAAAATGTTCTACAAATGTCAAAGTTTTTTATTATAGGTTCAAAATGAACGTACAAGACTATTAAGTCATCCATTGGTTACTTATTTACTTAGAAGAAAGTGGAATTCTTCTGGAAGATATGTATATTACACAAGGTTGTTTATATATATTATCTTTCTCATATTTGTAACATTTTATGCATTATCTGTGCATGATGATTGCAAGAAAAATTGTGATTGGAAGGTAAATTATGATGTTAAAAGTTGTACAAACACAAGTAATACAGTTCCCAGATTATATCCAAGGTTTTTTATTGAATCTGGCAGATACTTTATTGTGGTATTGAGTGGTATTAGCTTATTTATAGAGGTATATATATATTTTTTTTCAAATTAGTTTATAAAGAAATTCTTTAATAAATTTTTTGTGATTCTGTAAAGGTGATGCCATATAGATGGCACTACTGTTACAATATAGTTTATAAAGAAATTCTTTGATAAAATATTTAGACAATAAAAAATTATAACAATTTTTTTTCAGACATTTAAGTTGTTACATTAAATAATTTGTCACCTAATATAAACACTCTTGAAGTATGTATTATATATATATATATATATGTATATATATATATATATATATATATATATATATATATATATATATATATATATATATTTCTTTGGCTTCCCAGGCTTTACTTAACTTTTCAAAATTTATATATGTAAATGGTTGCTAAAATTGGGTGCTATGGGCCCTGAGTTCACTTGTTAATTGTTCAACTTTATAATAGTATAATAACTAATATATTAAGTTGAGTTTAATGAACACTTAAATTAAATTATAAGATTTCATAAAAAAAAAAATTATCATTTATAATTAGTATATCAAGGTCAATTTTTACTGCAGTAACTTGCAATTTGCAACTGCAATTTGCAACTGCAACTTACAACTGTAGTTTGCTTTTAGCAGTTTGTTAAGAGGTAAAACTATATTTGTATATATGATATGACAAAATATGAGAAAAATTATTTTGTTTAAAAGTCCTGCACAAGTACAAAAGTGTCAATAATGATAAAGTCAATATGAATTTATCACTTCTCATATATGGGTCTAATCTTATTGCCTCTTCTAAGAATAAAGCAAAACTATTTTCAAATAACTTTTATTCATCTCTTGAATCTAATGATTACAATCTGCCTATCAACCCAAAGAAGCATGTTAAAAGCGTTTTGAGACATCTATATCATTTCAGCTTCTATTGCTTAAGTTATTTCTCTCACAAATTTATTTACTGCTTTTGGTCCCGATAACATTGCTGTCACAACCTCACAAAAAGTATTTTCACTCATCACTCAACTACTTAACAAGTGCTTAACTGAATCTTGTTTTCCTACCTGGATGAAAATGACATCCAAGGTTCTAGTTTTTAAAAACTCTGAAAATTGCTCTAACCCCTCTAAATATTGCTCAATCTTCTTGCTATTATTAAAAAACTCTTTGAATTATTAGTTAACAAACTTCTAATATCTTATCTAGCATCCAACAATTTATTTTCTGGTAATCAATAGTTTTAATATGTTCATTCTATTGCTGGCTTGTTAATCGTTATAAAAGTAAGGTGCAACATCATGTATTAAATGTGTGCAACATGCATTAAATAAAAGTGGTGAGGCAAGGGCTATTCAGTTGTAACCTTATACTCTAACTGTTCCTTCATTCGCAAAAAACGTTAATCTTTCGTGTTTTTTCCCTCAAACATCAGTGTTAGGAGATTCTCTTTTGTTTTCATGTTTACCAACTTATCGCTAACTGCTTTCTGCTTTGTTTCTGTTAACTCTTTTCTGTTAAAGTAGTGGTTGCTTGTAGTTTTGTTTTTTAACTTGCTTAAAAAAAAAACCAAAAAAGAAAACCTGCATTACAAAAACTTTGCTTATTTGAAATAGACATACCCAAATGATCAATGAGTCAATAGAAAAAAAAAAGTGAAATATAACAACATGAAATGTGACTGCATATAAAATTGAAGCTTTACAATAAATAGTGTTTCTATTCTTATTAAAACTAAGACTTAATTGTATGAGAGAGGTAGATCAACCTATAGACCGAGTTGCCAATCTAGTGTATAAAAGTTTATATGGCTAAATAGACACTAATTCAGGATCCATGAGTAGTTGCCAATATGCATTTGCAATTACCCAACAATGTTGAAAGTTAATTACTTACATCTACTACACTTTTAGTTTATTTTTGTTCAACAAGAGATCCATTTGGGTTAACATTTAGTAGTTATCACATTTAATTATTTGGATTAACATTTAGTAATTATCACAAAAACTAAACTTCCATTTGCTTCCAGCAAATAGAAGTTTTATTTTAAAGGCATTAAAAACATCCAGCTGAAGAAGTGAAGCCACTGCTCTAAAAAATTTAAGTAAGATTTCCGACAATTATTAAAGCTTAGCATAGTTTGTGTAATTGCATAGTTATCATAATTTTATCCAAAAATGATTAAATTTAGATTAAGTTTAGAAGATGATTAAATTTAGATTAAGTTAAGATTAAGAAAAAAAATTAAATTATTTAAAAGTACCTTTGCTATACTTCCAACGTACAAGATCAGCATGGTTTTACACTGAGAACCATACTAAAATACTCAATGAGGTAAAAATCAATTTTGGTGCGCTACAAAGTTACAAAACTATTAAGAGCAGAGCACGAAAACAATTGCAGGTTACAAAACTGTTGCAGGTTACAAAACTATTTAAGCAGGTTACAAAACTATTGAGAACAAATAGAAATTTATTAGATTTAGTGTTATTGTTTACCAGAGTCATGACAGTATATTCAAACCAACTGATTATGCATCTAGATTTTTAACAAAAATAAAAAAAATTATAATGCAATCGCATTAAAAAAATTACAAAATTGCAAAAAAATTACTTAGAAACTGAGAAATCAGGTACTTGTGTCACTTGGCCAGGTTTAAATAACTAAAAAAGTGAGGCATGTATGAGATATCTCCTTTTAAAATCAAACAAGCCTCTCAGCTCATTGCATTCCAACATGACCATATTAAAAGTTTGAAATTTATTTATTTCAGTGGGCTATCTATTTATCTAATATTTAGCAGGGTTTAAAAGCAATATTTTTCTGTACAGTTGTTGGTAGATGATACAAGCATATAAAGAATTATGAAATGGAAATGGTATTCTAGTACAGTTGTTGGTAGATGATACAAGCATATGAAGAATTATGAAATGGAAATGGTATTCTAGTACAGTTGTTGGTAGATGATACAAGCATATAAAGAATTATGAAATGGAAATGGTATTCTAGTACAGTTGTTGGTAGATGATACAAGCATATAAAGAATTATGAAATAGAAATGGTATTCTAGTATAGTTGTTGGTAGATGATACAAGCATATAAATAATTATAAAATGGAAAAGGTATTCTAGTAGAGGTAGTTGTAAAAAATATAGTTTAAAATTATTAAGTCGATTCTAACAGTAGTGGCAATTCAGGAACATTAAAAGTATTTTATGATGCTCAGTCAAATGGCTTGAAAGAAGCCAGTAAAATTTGTGATTAAGCTTTTTTTTAAGTTTTTAAAAAAAAGTCCTTGTTCTCAACTCTTTAATTCCAAAACACAAGCCTTGACAAACAAATGCTATAGTGGATAAAATGCTTTTAAGTTTAAACAAAATGCTGATAAATAATCCAGATAATTTATGTACATACACTGAACTTCAAATAATAACTAATATTCAAATAGTAACTGATATTCAGCAGAAAAAGAATTTTTCTGTCTGCACAGTTTGCACTAATGACAAATTTTACTTGCACTATAGTAAATACTATAATACACTGTTTATAAACTACACATTGTTTATACTGTTTGTAACTAATAGCATTTTTTTTTTTACCAGAATTCTAAACTGAGTGATATGGCTATCACCAGATCTTCTGCTGAAGTATGGCTTCTTGAGAAACTTACTGAAACATTGTTCTCTGCAATACTTCCATCAAAATGAGATATTCTGAGGACACGTTTTTTTTCCATCACCAGGAGGCAAAACAAAAGATGAAGATATTGATTTGAAGAACAGTTGAAGTAGTATTAGCTATCTGGGAAATAGGGAGAATGCAAACTTAAAGAATTGACAATGCTGAAAGAAAAGTAAAAAAATTGTATAATAAATACCTTATTCTTAAGAAGAATATAAGCAAAAAACTAATTAGTTGCAGAATAAAAGAAATTTCCTAAGCTGATCTAACAGAACTATTTGATCTTTCAACTAGGGTGCTCTAAATGCTATGAAAAACAAAGAAGATAAAACATTCTAACAATGCAACAGGAGGATCTATTAAGCTTGTCACTCCTGCCATGCTGCACATGCCAGTAGTGGGCTAGTCACTAGCAGCTAGAGAAAATCGAAAGCGACAGCTTATGGAACCAGTGGAGGACCAGAAGTAGGTATTTTCAAGCATTTCTGGACCAACTGGTCAAGAATAAACCAAGCTGTGTTTATAGCAAGCCATTCTGTGGCAACTTCTTTGACCCAGAATGGCTTGTTAGGCTCCTGGCAGAGATGCTGAAATACTATGTTGAAGCTATAAAGAGTCAGGAACCCAAAGATGACTATCTAGAACTTCTCAACCAATGTATTATTTTCCTTGGAGGATTTGTGGATTCAACCAATTTATCAAAGGAAGATGATTACTTGTTTAAAGCTCCTGGAGCTATTCACAATGCTTGGTGAATGGCAAGAGCAATATACTGCTTTAAGATTAACATGTTCCAAAATCAGTTCACACTTACTGCAGCTAAGAAGAAAGGAGTCACAACTATCATCCTTTTTGTTGCACATATCTATGCTTCATTTTGGAAAGAAGCTCCTCTTGCAGAATGAGCACATCTATATGCTGTCAAGTTTTTTAATCAAATTCATCTCTATTCAAATTTGGGATGTCATTAGGGATGTTGCTGCAAAAGCTTTCCATCGTCACCTTTGGTATTTCTTGGAACACTTGGTAGGTCTGGTTGTCTTTACATTGATAACAATGTCAACAAGGAGATGGTTAAAAAGCATCAGCCAATGAAAAAGGTTCTTTATTGGCTGATGCTGTAGTATGTATTGGTTGATGCTTTGATTCATCCATCAAAGTTGTTTATATAACTTTGTTACACGGTGCACGGCGGAACTCTTTGATCTCCTGTTCAATAATGGTAAAGAGAAGGCACAGTTATTCCTTTCAAAAGAGCCACAAGAATGGTTGAAAGATTCAGTTTATATTGAAATGTAACCTAAGGTTTGTTAAATGAAGGCTGTTAATGACTGTGCTGAGAGAGGCATAGCTTTAATCACAGCCTATAATTCTACCATTACAAATAATGAAGACCAAAAGTAGTTTTGGTCTTCATTATTTGTAATGGTAGAATTATACAAAAAATAGCAAAGTTTACACAAAACATAGCAAAGTGTTCATCTACCAATCTTCTTTGGTTGGTGGATGAGCACCGGAAAGAATTTCCTAGTGCATTCAAAACTGCTCTAATGATGATGAGACTGACTACTCCATTTTGTTTTTATTAGTGTTTGTATTACAAGTGATGTAAACACTAATAGAAAAATGAGCATGATCTACATTGTTTAATAACATTTCTAAACTACAAAAATATAATTTGTTACAGTTGATAACATTGGTCAAAAAAATATTTAAAGTTTTCAATTTTTATACTATGAGATCAATAAAGTCACAAAACATAGCAAACCTTAAATATCATTGATTTACATAAAATTTGGTCCCCAAATTACTTTTGTCATGCAAAAAAGGATTGAAAATTTTGATTCTCCGAAATTTTCAATCCTTGTTTTACACTTATATATATATATATATATATATATATATATATATATATATATATATATATATATATATATATATATATATATATATATATATATATATATATATATATATATAGTTTATATATAATTTATATATATATATATATATATATATATATATATATATATATATATATATATATATATATATATATATATATATATATATATATATATATATATATATATAGTTTATATATAATTTATATATATATATATATATATATATATATATATATATATATATATATATATATATATGCTTGGTCGTCTTTATTTTTTACTTTAAAATGTAATCTTAATGTTTTTTTTAAAAAATAATTAATTTAGAAGATTTAAAGGTCAAACTATAGAAATATATATATATATATATATATATATATATATATATATATATATATATATATATGTATATATATACAAGTTGATATATATATATATATATATATATATATATATATATATCAACTTGTGCCTTGGTGAAACTGAATCTCTAAAAAAACACATTTTATGTCATTATTTTATATATAAATACTAGTTATAAAAATAATAAAAATGAAAAATATTTGTTGGGAAAATTTTCAGTAATAGACCTTTAAATTTTGCAAAATTTATGAAAAATATTTTTTTTAAAAAAATTGAGGACTAGACCTTTTAAATTCACCAAAGCTGGAAAATATTTTCAGGAAAATTTTGAGAATTTGAGTAAAACCTTTAAAATTGCAAAAAGTTCTTGAAAATCTTGAGAAATTTAAAAATTCACAAAAATCAAAAAAGCCATAAAAACAGGATAAAAACTACTTTTCTTGTTTGGAGTGTTGAATGTAAAATATTACACAACATTGTATTTTATAGTTTCAGAAATTTATTTACTGTAAGTTACTGTAAGTTATTTATAAATAAAATTGTAACTTTCTATTTTTTAATATTTAACCAGTAAATTTTTAAAGAAAACCTATGTTTGGGAAATTAGTATTTTTCAAGGAAAAAGAAGTCACTATTTTTTCTTAACTTTTATGTTTTAAATTAGTTTTAGTATTAGAGTTAGGAGTAGCTTGAAAAGTAAGAGGAGGTTGAGGAGTAGAAATAGGAGAAGGTAGAAGAGTGTATATATATATATATATATATATATATATATATATATATATATATATATATATATATATATATATATATATATATATATATATATATATATATTGTGATTTTGATAATATATAATATGTAATATTGATTTTAAATGTAATTTTGCAATTGATTGAAAAAATTAAATCTTAAAATAAGTTTTGGGAATGGTATATTAAAGCTCACATTTAGTTATAAATTTTAACCAACACAAATCCCCCCCCCCCCTTTTTTTTTTTTTTTTTTTCTCCTGTTTTTTATAGATTTATTTATTTAATAAACGTTTTTATCAGGACTATGGAAATAATGTGTAAATAAGTCTAAAATTTGTAAAATTGCTAGCTTAAATGGTTTTCAGTGGAAGTTATTTGTCAGTAACCATAAGAATGAGTCAAACAATTTAAGGTTGTTTCCCACATGTCTCTGTTCACACTGCTTCACTATTATTTACAGGGGATCAAACTACTCCAAAGATAAGTGTAAACAAATATTGGAAAAGTTAGCTAACGTTACATAACTAATTGATCACAAATTGAACAAATCAGTTATAAAATTATATATATATATATATATAAAAGTTCATGCAATTCATTCATATCAATTATGTCCCCTAATAGTGGAAAATCTTTGCCAGTAGAGAACAAAGAAATAATAGTTGAGGGATTTCTGATTGCAGAGAATGTCTCTGTTTTCTATTCGAATATCTTTGAGTTTTTTGAGTAACTAGCATATCTTTGATAATCATAAAAATTGCCAATTTTTTTATTTATTTATTTTTTAAAATTTTAAATTCATCATTTTAATCTAAATAATAAATTTAGATTAAAATAATGAATTTTGTTCTAAATTTAAAAACAAAAAAAATGTATACTCAATGAAAAATGTGATCATTATATTTACAAGAAGTAGAAAGTTTTGTAACGTCTAATGTCACTACTTGGAAGATAAAAAGACATATTACCTGTAATAGCAAAACTGCGATCTATTATCTAAAATGTTTAGCATGTAATGGTCAATCAACATACGGTAAAAAAACAAGTTGTTAAAGAAATCCGACAAATGGCCATATCTTAAGTTGCTGAACTGCCCAATCAACTGACAGATTGGACAACCATGTTTATAATTGCCAAAGAAAAAATAATATAACTATGGAACCTTTTTTTCAGCTTTTTGTTTTTCTGGAACTTAAAAATGAAAAGATTTTATTATCTTATGAAATCATTTATACAAACAAAAAAATGATATTTTTAATTAATGTGGCGGAATAGTGTCGCAAAATTTTGATTGTGGCAAGTTTTTATTGCCGCAAATTTAGTTGTCGAAAAAGTGAAAAAGAAATAGTGTCATAAATTGTCGCATTATTGATTGTGGAATAACAGAATAAGGAGTAATGTCGCAAATGAATTTAATGAATAGTGTCGAAAATAAAAAAATGTAGCAAATTGCAAAAGCAGAATAGTGTTGCAAATAGTTTATTTCAGCAGTTGCTTACTCGTTTTGTTTATCTTTATAGCATACAGCTTTTACAGAAAAAAAATAATAAAAAAAGAAAAAACAAAGAATAATGAAAGAAAAGGTTGCTACTAAACCCTAAACCCTCAGTCAACGTAGTGGCACTCCTTTGCAGCAGCAGGCTATAAGATAGTTGGTGTATGTACTGAAACCCCCGGCAGCAGACTACTTCAGTTTAACATCTGACATGTTATCTAAACACACATTTATAGATATTTTATTTTTATTTTTGCTATTAGTCATTAAACATCTTTAGGATATTATTCCATTTTTATATTTTTGACACTATTCATTAAATTCATTTGTAACACTATTCCTTTTTTTTGTTTTTGACACTATTTATTAAATTCATTTGCGTCAATATTCCTTTTTGTTTTGTTTTCAACACTATTCATTAAATTTATTTGCGTCACTATTCCTTTTTTTGTGACATTCAGCCTTTTTAATATATTTGGCACTATTCTAAAGTTTATTTTGCGACACTATTCTTGTAACCCTTTTAATTAACACTTCCTATTTAAAAAGACACAGCATAAACTTAATTTTCTTTTTACAAAATTTTTTTTAATAGAAATATTTTTTTTTATAACAGCACTAATGATGAAACTATGAAAGGCCTCTAGATTTTTAAATAAAAGTTGTACAATTAAATAAATCATTTTTAAGAAACATAAACTTTTTAGAGTAATTTTATTGTTATTTTTGTTAGCATACCCTTATATATATATATATATATATATATATATATATATATATATATATATATATATATATATATATATATATATATATATATATATATATATATATATATATATATATATACTCTTGCATGGTAGTTAAAAAGAGTTTCCCATAAACTGTAGTTTTAAAGAGCGCGTTAATAAACCAGACCAGAAAAAGTTTTAAAACTTAAATTTTTTTTTTTTTTTTAAATGATAGACTGCCTGCCCAAACCAAACCCTCAGTCGATGTAGCCGCACTCCCTTGCGAGTCAGGCTATTTGTCAGTCGTTGTAGCAGCACTCCCTTGCGAGTCAGGCTATTTGTCAGTCGATGTAGCAGCACTCTGTTGCGAGTCAGGCTATAAGATAGTCGATGTAGCAACATTTACGCATGTTTTAAAAATGTTTTTTAATAAAACAAAAACACCACTAATTAAAAAAAACTTTCTAGTCATTATTGGGTTTTTTTTAAAAAACAATAAAATTTAATGTACTTCCGTATTAATTTAATTGCTTTGACATTTCGGCGACAATAAAATGTAGCTTAAGAGACAAGGTAAAAAAATTTTTACCATAAAAGTCTCTTTCAACTACACTATAAGAATATATATATATATATATATATATATATACATATATATATATATATATATATATATATATATATATATATATATATATATATATATATATATATATATATATATATATATATATATATATATACATATATATATATATATATATTTATATATTTATATATATATATATATACATTTATATATATTATATATACATTTATATATATATATATATATATATATATATATATATATATATATATATATATATATATATATATATATATATATATATATATATATAAATAAATGATAATATTTTTAGAAGTTTTGTACTCGAATTTTTGTTGTTTAAAAATAAATATTTTTTTTTATAGCTGATCAAATTGCTTTCAGAACCATATCATTATATACAAGTGCATAGATCACTAGAGTTAACAGTTTATATAAGTGCTCTTATATTTGTTTTGAAATCATTTAGATGGAAAAAAAAAGATTATGAAGAAAGGTTAGTTAACAGTTTACATAAGTGCTCTTATATTTGTTTTGAAATCATTTAGATGGAAAAAAAAAGATTATGAAGAAAGGTACTCAGTTTAACATTCACCACATATTTTAATAACATTTTATCTATTTATTGTAAAGAAATACTGTATGCTAGAAAAGGAGATTTAAAAGTTACAATAACGCACCTAATAGTTAATTATTTTATAGCTTAATTATTTTGTAGTTGATATTTTTATTAATTTAATTATTTTGAAAATGTTTTGCGTTATGTCGTCTTTTAATAATTTTTTCCACATAGTTTGAATTTTGGTATCATTGTGTGATTTTTGTTGACATTGCATACTTTTTTAATTAAGGCGTGCAAAGACCAAGTATTAATCACAAATAAAAGTTTTTTCAAATTATGTAAGGAGAGCAATTGACCTATTCTTCCCCCCCCCCTCCTTTTTCTATGAATCCATCCTTGACTTCAAGTTTAAATTTACATCGGTCAACAATAGTTATGTCACTAACTTTGATAGCTAATACTGATTTAATTAAGTTCCTTCATTATTATTCAATTTTGGTTTAAGATATATTTGTTTATGTAATTTTCTTGTAGCATAAATTTTTTCAATGTTTAATTGTACTGCCAACAATTAAAGGTAGTATTAATTAAAACTCAAATCATGAGTTGGTTATAATGATACTTGGAATAAGTTTAAGAAATCTTTCGAATGAAAGATTTGAAAGTTAAAATTAAGCAACTAAAACAGACAAAGCTTTAATGTAATTGTCAAAAAATTAATAGTTATAAAAAAAAAAAATATTTATAAATGTTTATAAAAAAAAATTGATAGTTATCAAATAATGTTTATAAAAAAATAATTTATTATTATCAAAACGTCATATTTATAATTTTAAATATATGAAAACTTTTGACATTTATAGAAACAAGTTTAAAAGTTGGACAATTTGAAACTTGTTTCTATAAATAAGACTTAAAAAACTTTTTATTTTCTGTATTGTATTATATGGAAACTCGCCATGGTAACTTTATTTAAGCATACCACTAATATTTGATTTAAAAAATACTTTTTTTTTGGCTGGTGATGATTTTAATAACTAAATATAAAGCATTTTTTGATGATTGTGAACTTGAGTATAGTGATCAAAATTTTTGACTGTGAAGAATTTGAAAATTCTCATCCTAAAAGGAAGAAGACTGGGTCACTCTTCAAATATTATATTGATATTGTAGCAAATACAACTAATAGTTCTGTTGTTATCAGGACTGGTAGAAATATTGATAATATTACTTTTTCACTCAGCTCAGGCCACAGAATCACTGAATTAATTATACAACTAACTGAGAGCTAACTTCAAATTCATACAGCTATCAGAGATCTGAGAAACAAATAGTTAGCAACACTAGAAAACAGATAAGAAAAAAACTATTTTTGTGTTCTTACAAAATACAACAATGAGATCCACCTCATTAATGTGCCAGACCTGGAGCAAGGAACAGAAGATTTTACAATTTGCTCAAAAATGTAGTTGTTGGATTTCTTTAAAATCTGCGATTACCTTTATGGGCTATGTTTGACACTACTGATCTAAACACTGATCGTCTCAAAGAAGCATGCACAGTTAGCAAAGTCTCATTGTTGAAAATTGCTTGTACTGGCTTGCAAATACCATGTAGGGGAAGTTCATGTTTTGCATTATTTTGAGGCTGTGGTAATTGACAAAACTGTTTGTCCTGAAATCTCATTGTTTTAATTATTTAAGCAGCACTGGCAGTAGGTGGATAGGAATCAGCTGAAGGAGTTAATTTAGTTCAACCACCAGTAGTTTATGGGAAATCATGCCTGGTACTTGGATCCACCACCAGTTGTAATGGTGTTTTCCTCTTCTGATAGTGGCTTTAACAGGGACAGGAAAGAAATAGCAAAGTTTTGATAGTTAGCTGAAAGAAAGAAACATCAATATTGAAGATATTAAGAGAGACTCAGAGCAGTTTTCCCAGCTATTTCTGTTTTCTTTTTCAAAATAATTTGCTTCTTCTGTTAATTATTTCTCAGCCTGTTTCTCCTGTTCCAGTTCCACTTACTACAGCTGGTCCTACTTCCAATGATACCTCTTTTAAACTAAAATTTCTGTTCAAATTCAAGAATTTTTTTTTGTTTGGATGATAAAAATCATTGTTATCATTATTGGTTAATGATTAAATCACAGTAAGTTGATAATTTATTAGTGTAACAGACTTCTTTATTTTAATATAATAATGAAAATAGTTACTTTAACATTTAACTATAAAAGTCACACACTATTGAAATAAGTTGTTATTCGGTTCAATAATTTATGACTTGGTTTACACACTAAAAAACTCTGTTTATCTAAAGCAAAAAACTTTTTAACCTTTTGTCTTCTGTTATTTTAGTTTATTAAAGAGTGATTTTCTGTTTAAGTTTCTATTTTTATTTTTATTTTATTTTTGTTTCAGTTTTCTATTTTTTTCAATTCTTTTTTTTTTATTTTTTTATTTTTTTTATTTTCTGAATTATGCTTGTTTTTCACTTTTTATAAAATAAAAAATTGAATAACATTTTTGAAATCAGTGTGTAAAAATACATTGAAAACTAAACAAATTTTAAATATTAAATTGAATTTTATTAACTGCTTTATTTTATTTTTTTTAAATGGTTTATTGCTAGCAGCGCCTTTATTTATTTTTATCATTTTTTTGCAAAAAGTACATGAACTTTATATTATAGCTGCTCAGAGATGTATCGTGGATTTGGAGCTGCTTTGGTGACATTATCTTGGCTTGTTTTAGTTTTATTCTTGAGAAAGTTTCCAAAGCTTGGAATTTATGTTGTTATGTTTACGCACATTCTGATTACATTTGCAAAATTTTCAGCTGTTTTTATTTTATTTATTATTGCTTTTGGATTTGGCTTTCATCTTTCAGTGTTTGAGGAAAGAAAGGTATTTTTTATTTAAATTTAATTGAATATGTTATTTGGTTTATTTTGGTTATTTTGTTTTTTATAATTCAGTTAAACTTTTATATGGTATTGAAGTCTTTATTAACTTTGTCTTTGGAAAACTTTATAATAGAAAAGAATTTTTAAAAATATTTTCATTTAAAAGATATTTTTTTAACTTTTTTTAACTTTTATTTGCTGTAGGATAAAAAAGTAGTACAAATGCATTTAAAAGAAAGTTTTTAAACTTTTTTTAACTTTTATGTAAAATGAAGATAGTAGTACAAATGCATTTGAAAGAAAGTTTTTAAACTTTTTTTAACTTTTATGTAGGATGAAGATAGTAGTACAAATGCATTTGAAACTGCCACACGCTCTATGCTTAAAACAACATTAGGAATGTTAGGAGAATTTGAATATGATACAGTATTCAATACATATAACAAAACACAAATTAATATTGCATGGGCTGTTTATGTTGCATATTTGGTAATCAATTGCATCATTTTGATGAACTTATTGGTAAGTTTTACTTGCACTTCCTATTATACACCACAAATTTATCTCTGCTTTAATATTTTATCTTTATAATATATGTTGTTAGTAATTAACTTTTTTACTTATTACTTTAATTATGTTGTTTGTTTCTCTATATACACTATATTGTTTTTATACTTTAATATGTGATTATTTTCTTATGAATAATAACAAAATCTATTTGGTTGAACATTTTGTGTTTAAAACTCTTTGGTTAAGATTTTTTTTTTTTTATTTATTATAATTTTTTTTTTTTATTGTTAATTCTTTTTTTTTTTTTTTTTTAATAAAATTGACTATATAAAATCCTTACATAATGTTATAAGTAATAAAACTAAGTTTAAAAAATTAAAAAGGGATCCTACTTTAAAAAATGACTATCTTTACAAGGGTATTTTAGTAAACATAATAAGCTTAAAAAATTTTTTTCTTGTTTCCTTTGGGACAGCGATGACACTAAGGTGTCACAGAAAAGACTGGTCAAAACGAATCAAGTTCTCTGTGGGAAAGAGCAATGTTGAGTAATAATTTGGAAAAGAGCGATTCTCATAAAGAAAGATGCTAGAATGGTTTGTCACTCAAGTTTTATATTCTTGATGATTTCATCTCAGTAAATTCAAGGAGAACATGAAAGCTTACCTAGAGGAACGAGGTGTGTGCTTTCATCAAGATATATTGGGATTTGAATGTCTTTATCAAGAATATTATAATAAAAACATAATGGGCAATTTTTTTGATTGATCGAACATATAAAATTAATAATACTCAGCTAGGATTCAATAAAGACATAAAAAATCCTTTTTTTGTTTTACAAAATAATCAATTTCCACAAAAAATTATTGACTCTGAACTTAAATCATATATTGATAAAAAAATGAACACATCTGTTTCAAACTTAAGGTTTCATATTTGAGTTAAAAACTCAAATATAAGATATTTTAAGCATTCATGGGAATTTATTCTAATTATACTAAAATGATAATTACAAAAATTGTTAAAAAATGTTGTGAACATGTTCTAATAAAATTAATATTTACTACTAATAAAGTACAAAATAATTTTTTAATTAAAAAAGATTCACTTCTTAAGCTACTTATATCTCATGTTGTTTACAAATTTTCTTGCGCTGGCTGTATAGCCAGTTATATTGGAGAAACTTCTAAATGCATTGTTTTCTTGGACTGGCCAGTTATATTGGAGAAACTTCCAGGCATTTAATAACTAGAATTTTTTTAAATTTCCATAAATTTATTTAGTGTATATTAGTGTATGATTTAGAATAGGTTTAGTTAGATTTTTTAATTAAAACCAAACCATGCAGAGGGTTGTCGAGAGAGAAAGGCAAAAAGTCAGTCTATCATTAGTTAGAGACAACAAATTCATCCATAGATTCTTCATCATCTGAGGAGCACAACTTCGATGATTCTGTTGTTTCCTCATCTTCATCTTCAGTTTCCACATCTGCCTGCATTAATTGCTGTCCTGCTGAAGCTGCTCTTTGCTGGAGTACTAATCGTTCTTTACGTTTTGCTGAACGCTTATTGTGGGAAAACATTTTATTGTCCACATATCCAATGCATCCAGTTCTAGATTCTTTCTGCATCTTTAGAAACTGTCTTCCTCATTCTTGATAAGATTGTCAGAATCAGCATGGCTGATATCAAACAAAATATCCAGCTTTTCATTGTATTCTTTTTGGTTCTGTTGATCCTTAGCATTTTTCCTTGAACGATGTTTTATTGGTCCAACATGCTGTGAGTTTTAATCTTTTAAATAATATCTGGTTTGTGTCGGACCGCTAATCTTGATTTTATCCAGAAGGGCAGTAGTTGGTCGTGTACTTGCTGTCCACTCTAAGCAACTGTCAGTTTCTGCTTCCTCTGGAAGTAACCAAAATTCTGCATAACATTACAACCTGAAGGAAGGCGAGCTCCAGTTATTACGTCACATGGATGGCCAATCAACCAGATCATGTCGGTACTTTAAGTTGTGTTAGGTTTACACTTTGCCATTGCTCCACAGTCTTTATTCTACAATAAAAGTAAAAAACTTGTAAAAAGTAAATATATAAGATATCTAAAAAATCTTTTTTTAATAATTTTTGTTAAATTTCTGCTTAAAACACTTGTCACTTGTAGAATATAATCTTTACTAGTATTTTGTTTTACATGTATAGCTATTTGAACAGTGTCAAATTAGTTTTAATTGAATAAAAGGCGGGGGTGGATTTTAGAAAAAAAGTTACTTTGGTCAATTTTTTCCCCATTTATACAAAAATTTTAGACCCTTGGGGGACCCCTAAACATTTTTCAATTGTCATAAAAAAATTTAGTTGTTATTGTGGGACCATTAAGAAACTTTTAAGAGGGACTGCATCAAAATTATCCACAAAAAATTTTATCAGTGATAAAATTTTTTGTGGATAATTTTGATGCATGGGACACCCTAATATATATATATATATATATATATATATATATATATATATATATATATATATATATATATATATATATATATATATATATATATATATATATATATATATATATATATATATATATATATATATATATATATATATATATATATATATGGCTGTATATAGACTTATTGACAATTAATTATATATGCATATACATGTAAATATATATACTCATGTATATATATTATATATATATTATATATATATATATATATATATATATATATAAATATATATATATATATATATATATATATATATATATATATATATATATATATATATATATATATATATATATATATATATATATATATATATAGCATTAGTTTGATTGAGATTATTTATTTTAAATATCCTCAGGTTGGTTTGGCAGTAGATGATATAAAAGGTGTTCAAAAAAAAGCTGCTTTACAGAGATTAGCAATGATGGTAACTCTTGAGATAATATAATAGATAATATAACACTACTGAATGATTTTCAATTAAATTTACATATAACATATTTTTACCAGGTTGATCTTACATTAGATGTAGAGAAGGCTTTGCCAATTTCAATTCAAAAAAAACTTGTAAGGCTTGAAGAATCTATTTTACCTAATGTCAATAAAACATGGAGTGTTTGGTCATGCTGGTCAGATTCTCCATTGGTAAAGCCATATGAAAAGGTACTTCATAAACAATGTTTATTTTGTTTTGTCTTTTTAGTTGTTTTAAATAAGTAAAAATATTTAATTGTTTTATAGATCACAACTAAAAGATTTATAAATATATTTTAAAATAAATAATGTAGTAAAATTTGAATATATATATATATATATATATATATATATATATATATATATATATAATTTTAAATCAGAGGTTTTTTCACTTTTTTCTTCAAAAAGTCAATGAAAATGCTTTTATTTTTTAAGTTTTTAAAAATATTTTTGAAATGTATTGTAATTTGTAACACAAAATCAAGCAAACACTGACTGAAATGCATATTTTCTCAAAATAGTATGACTCATGTGTTATGAAAAATGTAACAGTCATACAAAAAGTGAATTTTTCAAAAGTCAACAAATATGCAATTAATAGTTATCAAGTGATTAATTTAACTAATAGATCAATGATTATTAATTCAGTAAACAATCACAACACTTTTTTATCCATTCAGAATGCAAAATTTAAATAAGAAAAAACAGCAAGAAGTTATAGCAAAATTTTATAAAAGTTGTATTAAATATGAAAAGATATTAACTATTTAAAAGAGGGAGTCTCATGCAGAACAATATATGGTATATTAAAAACATACAAAGAATGTGTTTCAGCAATTCGCAAGTCAATTAATAAGAATTTAGCAATTCGCAAGTCATTGTAAGAAACAGCATTAAATAAAAATGGAGTATCTCTTCATAAACTTCTAAAGAAATAAACTGTTGCTCCATCAGTAGTTAAGGGTTGTTAAGAAATATGGAGCTGTTTGTTACCAGCACAAAAAAGACCTATTTTACGCTCAAAATCAAATAACAAGTTTAAGACATAATTTTAAAAAAATGGTATTGGATTTTGGACATATCAGGTGGACACAGAAAAATTGGGTCAACTTTAATTTAAGATTTCTCTAAAATCATAAATGCTTTTTATTTCGATTTTTTTTATATTAAATTTGTTACGGTTTCAACTAAATTTTAAGGGGTTTGATGGGCTGTTTGCCAAGAAATTGAATTTTATAGTGGGTTGATGCCATCATTTTGCAGATTTTTTTCTTTTTTCACCCTATTGGTGGCATTAATCTACTTTTTTGAAAGTCTATTTTACTTTTTGTAACTCCACCTGTCTTACGAAGAACTCCTTTAATTATTGGTCGAAAATCTTCAAACTTTTGCTCCTCATGATGGTTTGGAGAATTCGCATCTTTAGGAACAATTTTCACATTATTATCTTTGCACCACTGTAGAACTTTTTTAGAATAGTGAGAAGCAGCAAGATCTGGCCAAAAAAGACATTGGTGTTTGTGTTTTTTTCATAAATGGCAAAAGTCTTTTTTGGAGGCATTCTTTAATGTAGAGATCGGCAGTCAAGGTCTTTTTAGCGATAAAACAAGAGGACTGCATACCACGGTTACAAATAGCTTGCCAAAAAAGAAATTTGTTGCAGAATTTTTTGTTGTATATATTTAAATAGATCATCAATAGGTTTATCTTTGTTTTTATAGTAACATTGTTGACCAAGAACTTGTGAAAAATTCATATTGCAATATGTTTCGTCATCTTATATTATGCACATAGATTTATTCCCCATTACTTAAACCAACTTTTTTGTGCATGGAATTCCATGTATTTTACCATTTAAGCTTCTTTTAGGTGTATTTTTATTTTGAAATGCTTTAATTCCAGCATTTTTAAGTACTTTTTTGATATAAGAAATAAAGTCTTGAATTTTCTTGATTTTTTTTTTTTCAAATTTGACGATCTAGCAAGAATTTTTCAAGAAAATTCTTGCTAGATTGTCAAATCTGATGATCTAGCAATGGTTTTGATTTCTTGCTAATAAACTGAGAATCGACTTTACCTTTTTGAATTTATGAAAAGTTTTCTTTCTTCTACTTCCAGGTTTTTTTTTGAAGCTTTGAGTAGTCTTAAACTTATTTATAATATCTATGACTGTAGATTTTGGGACAATTGTACGTTTAGCAATTAAACAATACGAATTCGATGGATTTTTGAAAAAAAAATTCACATTGTTTTTACACACCTCAATTTGTTTTCAAAACATTTGGCAAATCGTAAACAAATGTTATCAACATAATTAAATATAAGGAAGCAACATTTAATTAAAAAAATTAAAAAAATTAAATGCTTTTGTGGTTTCAGACAAATCTTAATTTAAAGTTGACTGGATTTCTCCATGTCACCCGATATCAATTGTGGTTGATGAAGAATCATATTTCTGCTTAAAATCAGATTCAATGCCGGTACATAATCATTTTTAGCAAAGTCAATACATTTGAGGAACTGGTTTTCATTGAAAGACCGAACAGCATCGCAAGTGAGATTTATGAAAAAATGATTAAAATGAACTTTTTATCAGTTGTTATCATTATGACAATAGTTATATTGCTAAAACATTTACTTTTTATTTTAACTAAAACATTTACTTTTTATTGCAATTTTGCTAATAAAAAGTAAATGTTTTAGTTATATATTTGTATTTAGTTTATTCATAATATGTCTTAGAATTGTTGGTATTTTAAAGGGGTTTTACTAAATTTCCTTGTCTTCCTTTTTGTAAATGCCACTCGAAGATTGTTTGATTTTCTGATTTTTGCATTTACTAAATGGCAGTTATTGTTCAAAAAAAAAACCCAGCTGCGACCATGTATTCTTTATGATATATTTTTAAGTTCAAAATCGACGACTTTTTTTGCTTTTATAAAAAGACCAATTTAAAGTTAAGATATTTGCTTTTTTTTTTATTTTATTAAACACATTGAATCGTTTTTGTTTAAAATAAACTTTTTTTTAGTATTTTAATGTTTTCTAAATAGGAAAAAAAAAGAAAATCATTTCACTATAAATACGTAAAAATCATATATTTAAGTATTCGATTCCAACCAAATGCCGGTCTCTTGAAATTGGAATTTATTTATGATATGATATTTAGGAAGTATAATGGTTGTTTAATACTAATAAATAAAACCAGCTGCGACTAGCTATAACTTAGACTTAAAATCGATTTTGAAATTTCAAGATTTTAGGCTAATTTAATTCTTACTTTACAATGCATTGTGATGTGAAAAAAATTATTTGTCTGGAAATTTGAATTTTATATGATATGGAAGGCTACTTAGTTAATAGTTGCAGCAATTTGATTAAAAACTTTTAACGTTAAAAACTTTAAAAAACATTAAGCATAAAAAATTAATGTAGAAACTGTAAGAAAATTGAACTTCTAATGAATTACACTAACTATATTTTGTATTGTTAGTATAAAATAGTCATTTAAAAATTAGAATTTATTTTTATTAGCTCAAGGTTAAAACTTTATTCCTATTTTACATATTAGTGCACATAATAATTTTGCTTAAATCAAATGGTCAAAATAATATAAATAAAATCTTAGTCAGTATTTTCAAAGTTGGCATAGTAATAAAATGGCAAATCAGTGTTTTCATTTTCAAAATTATTTCATTTATGTTTATTGGTTTTAGCTCCTCATTTCTATCATCAAAATCATCTTTCTCATCCAACTCATTATATTCTTCATCCACATAAATATCATCATTAGCATCATTTGCATTTTCCTTTTCAGATTCTTGAAAAAGAAGATCAACTGCGTCTCCATCTAGATTCATTTTTTTATGTTTACATTTCAATCTTGCATAGTTTAGAGATGAAAGAATTAGGTCACTCGAAAGCATTAAATAATTGAATTGGTCCGTCATTGTAGCTTTTCGATCAAATTTACGAGTGTATTGTAAACAAATATTTTTATTGTCTTTATTTCAAGCTTTGATTGCTTCTTCAGAGTACATTCCAATTGGTAGCATAAATCTAGTTATTGTCAGACTACTATAAATGAGTAGTTTGTGTACAGAAGCTGGCATGTAAAACTATGAGTACTCTCGAACAAAAATGTTTGCAGTTTCCAAACAATATGTTTTATATTTGGCTATGTTAATTTTTTTACTTAAATTAATGACAGATAGAATAATGTATAGCCTCTAGATTAAATCTTTCTTGACTCCTGTTATTCGCAAAAACTCTGCGTGCTGACCAAAAGCACGACAAGCAGTATTGCCATCATTTGATGTCCCAGATCTGTCTTGAAGAGGCATGTCAACAATAAGGCCAATTTTATCAAACTCACGCTGAACAAAATTTTTTTTTTACAGCTGCTAATTTTATATTTTCAGGTCCACATATTTTCCATTCTTTGATATCAACTTATGTGTAGAATACACTCGAAAACATCGAATCCATGCATGTAATGACGATAACTCAAACTCTAAGCTTTGCGAATCCGTTGAATGGATCAGAGCTTTATCTAAGTTGTTCATTGATCAGGATACATTTGCAAATATTACAAATTTGAGCTGATTTATTGTCTAAAATTGCATTTACTGCTTTTCCATTAATCATTGTAAGCTTAAGATTGAAGCTTACTTCAATTACAAGCTTCTTTTCAGCTTCTGGTTCCATTATTTCTACATCAGTAATCATTGCACTCTCCTCAAGCAAATCAATTTGCTTGTTAAAGTATTTTTTTTCTTCTCTTAAAACTAAAGGGTTTTCAGCAATATACTGAATTCTTAGTGGGCGGCAGAATCGCGTTGAAGAAGGCACTTGATTTTCCCAAATTGTCATAACACCATACGATAACTTAAGTGGCACTAGGCAAGTAGAAAACAAGTTTTGATCAGACATTAAAACATTAGATTCATCATTGTTGTTTATTTGGACGTAAAATTTTTGTTTATACTGTTTTTGGCTACTTGCACCATCGAAGCCCCATTTGCAATACAAAGTCATTCCTAAACAGGATTCAAGGGAATCAAGTTGCGATATTCTGTTTTTAACAGTTGTTATTTGCAACATTCAATGAACTGTATGGTATAACAATTCTTTCAGTGGAACTTCGCCTCTCATTCTATTTTCAGCTATATAAATACCATCACGATTACACTTTTTTTTTCGTCGCGAATGTTGTTATATGTAGGATATATATTCACATTTCAAATAATTCGTTATTTAGCATACTGATATACTGATCTACAATTTGTCTTGACGTAAGTTGTGATGAAATAGTGTCTTTAATTTTTTCAAATACTTCAAGTCGAGTTATGTTATTAAACATTTTTATAAGATAACTTGATTATTTGTAAGATAAGAGTTTTAATAATGCTACTTTAAGAGAAAATTTAAATATCTATAATTAAGTGTAAATTTATTCAAATAATTTTATTACTTTTGGAACATAATTGCAATCAAATCGCTGCAATTATCAACTAATTAGTCTTCATATAATCATATAGTATCATATAAACTTCAAATTTCCAGACAAATAATTTTTTTCACATCACAATGCATTGTAAAGTAAGAATTAAATTAACCTAAAATCTTGAAATTTCAAAATCGATTTTAAGTTTAAGTTATAGCTAGTTGCAGCTGGTTTTATTTATTAGTATTAAACAACCGTTATACTTACTATATATCATATCATAAATAAATTCCAATTTCAAGAGATCGGCATTTGGTTGGAATCGAATACTTAAATATATGATTTTTACGTATTTATAGTGAAATGATTTTCTTTTTTTTTCCTATTTAGAAAACATTAAAATACTAAAAAAAAGTTTATTTTAAACAAAAACGGTTCGATGTGTTTAATAAAATTAAAAAAAAAATTAAAAAAAAATTCCTTAAACAAATATCTTAACTTTAAATTGGACTTTTTATAAAAGCAAAAAAGTCGTCGATTTTGAACTTAAAAATATATCATAAAGAATACATGGTCGCAGCTAGTTTTTTTTTTTGAACAATAACTGCCGTTTAGTAAATGCAAAAATCAGAAAATCAAACAATCTTTGAGTGGCATTTAGAAAAGGGAAGACAAGGAAATTTAGAAAAACCCCTTTAAAATACCAACAATTCTAAGACATTATGAATAAATTAAATACAAATATATAACTAAAACATTTACTTTTTATTAGCACTAAGTTAATATGTTTACTTACAGTGTTAAAATTTACTCATTCAATCATCGATGTTGAAACCAATTGATGATTAAAACTAAATTGATAATAATAATAATAGAGTAACTAAATAATAATGATAATAATGACATAATAATGATAATAATAATAACCAAATTGATGATTAGAAAAGTCTTTTGCTATAAAAGTTCTCTTATTGGTTGCTGTTAAAGTTGTTTAATTGATTGCTATGAAAGTTCTCTAATTGGTAAGTTTTTAAGTTTATGATTTAGAGTTTCAAATTATTCCGATTCTCAAAAAAGACTTTGCCGGTAGAAAACATTGCTTAGTAATTTTCATAATTATAACTTAGTTATCGCAAAGCTGGTACACAGTAATTTTTGTAAAAGATGATTCCTTATTTTATATTTCGCATTTAATGCGCTCAAAAATAAAGGAAGTGATTTTTCTTCAAGAAGAAAAAATCACTTCTTGCAACACTTGCATGATGAACACTCCTTTATGGGATTTCGTTCAGTGTTATATCCCATTCTTAATGATAATTTTTCTGACAACAATGAATTTGATTGGTCGATCTCGATACTAGTCATAATGAAGAAACCAATGTGATGTTACTGAGGTAAGTTGTGGTCCAGTGATCAAAAAGGTACGACAATAGACAATTCAAATCCAGCTGCATCATTAACAGCTTATGAGTCTGAATCTGAAGTTGAACTTTCTGTTTCAAATGAGGCATTGACAGTATAGTAGCATCTTGTGACTTTACTTGCAATACTATAGAATTCTGTATAATGTTTAAGCAAATTATCCTGTGTTATATCTCGAGCCTAAAATAAGTCAATCAATAAATGATTATTTTGCCATAAACGCAACTATGCCAAGTAATCTTAAATTGTGTATATTAAAACTTTAAACTCATAACTGAATTATGACTCAAATTTGTTTCTGATTCTTCTGACTCTCTATCTGAATCTATTTCTTTTGCTTTTTTTTTTTTGAAGATCAATTTTAACAATCTTAGTTAAAACTAATGATGCATAAAAGTTGAAGACTTTTCTTCCTCTTTTTTTTTTTACTAGAGCAACAATAAGCTAAGTAAAAAAGAACGTGTTCAATTGAAAGAAAATGTAAACAATTTGCAGATCAGAATGAAAGCGATGGAAGCCCAAAACAATCGAATGGAAGAAATGTTGAATGTAATTGTGAAACATCTAAATATTGGTTAAATTTTATTATTTAATTTTAGTTTTTATTATTTATTCATTTTTATCAATTCAAATTATAATGAAAAATTTTAAAATGTAAATAGTTAACCTAATATATTAGTTATAATTTTATATATTAATTAGATAGTATTTATTTTACAAACGTTTTTTTTTTTTTTGGTTTGATATTTTGTAAATTTTTTTATCTACTTTTTATTTCGTGAAATTACTATTTCGTTAATTATTTATTATTAGTTTTGTTGTATCCTATTTATTCATTTAATATCTATTTATTTGACAATATAAAATTGATAGTTATTTTATACCACATATAAACAGAAACATTTTATTGATATATATATAGAGAGAGAGAGAAAGATTTTAGTTTTTATTGTTAATTAATTAGGTCTTTCACACTTTCTACACTTTCTTTTCTTGTTTGTTTTTAAGAAGATAACTAGAAACTATTTTTTATCGTGTGATTATGTTGAGATTAAATGATTTTAATTAAAACTATAATGTTAATTTTAAACTTAGATATTATTTATTAGAACATATTGTGTTTTTATTAAGTTTTGTAAAGTAACATATTATTGTAAAAAATATTTATATTATATTACGTTTTATATTTATTATTTAATTGTTATATTTACACGTTTTCTACTTTTATTCTACCAAACATTGATAGGTATGCTTTATTATGCGGCATGCACACATTGATGGGTGTGCTTTGATATGCGGCATGCTTTATATTGATGTATAGACGTAAGAACTTTGTGGGAGTAAGGACACGAGAGTGAGTACAAAGTTCATTGCACACCTACGATCATGACATTTTACATAGAGAGTTACGTACGATTTTGTGATTGTCACAAAAAAGAAATTTGCAGGATTATGCTTAATTTATATATTTAGATGTTATAAAAAAATGTTAGTTGCTTAATAACTTATGCTGTCTGGTATTAGTTATCTGCCAGCTTACCATTATTTATGTGGTTGTTGAATTTTACACACGAGTGCGCTTTGGCTTAACCTCATTGTTGTCAAAATGTCAGAAAACCTCATATAAACAGTGAATGAACTCTCGGACTACATTTAACCAACCACCACAAGATTGGACAAGTTTGAAGTTTGTGAAATCTCTTACTTAGACATTTTAAACTACAAAATATGGATGAAAGCTTGCTACAAAAATTGTGTGTGTATATATATATATATATATATATATATATATATATATATATATATATATATATATATATATATATATATATATATATATATACAGTCGTGGCCAAAAGTTTAGAATCACATGTGAACTTTTCATTTTTTTTTTGTGTTTTTGTCGAACCTTGGTCAGAAATATTAAGTCTATTTAGTTGTCTTTGTTCCGGTATTTAGTTAAACCATTTGTGGTAGCTAAGCAGCAGTTTTAATTACATTTTTTGATCATTTTAATAGGAAAAAGAAGGAATTCAAGGGTTGAATTAACGCATCGCGATTTGCGATATCTGTTAAATTATCTGGTCTTCAAAGTTTCAGTTTATGGAAAACCACGAAATTTACGGAATAGGCGAATAAACTTTAATTTGTTAGTGAAAACGTTATGAAAAACAAAACAATAAATTTATGACTACAAAAGTAATAACACTACAGTGTTGTTACTTTTATAACACTCTTTTAATTACATTTATAGTTTATTGTTTGATCAAACAACACCTAATCAAGATATTATAAATAAAAATGATTTAGTTAAGTAATTCCAAACTTTAATTAAAGTAGTAATGCATCTAAAAAAAAATACAATGGATATTTAAACAAGACAAAAAGTGTCCTGATTTTAAACCAATTTTAGGTTGCATGAGCGATATGGGGCTGATTTTAATAATCGTGCGGAGTAAAGGAGGGGGGGGGGAAATTTGCTACTGACTACTCTAATGTGCTTAATACAAAGGTAGGTGGGGGTGGGAATTTTAGTCAGGATGTATAAAATGGGAGGAGGAAATAATAAAAAAAAGCGGGAGGATTTACAACGAAAGTTTTATTATTTATCGATTACCAATATATATATTTTTTAATAATAAGGCCAATTTTCACTGAATTTTTGTTTTGAGATATAGTTTTTTGTTTATAACAAGTGACTAGTTATAAATAAATAACACGATTTTCAAAATCAGCCCCATATCGCTCATGCAACCTAAAATTAGTTTAAAATCAGGACACTTTTTGTCTGTTAACTAAAGGCCCTCCCCCCTCTCCCCCCTCCCCCGCAGTTTCGCCACTGAGAGTAGTACTGACATTTACTTAAATCTAAAAACAGAGGTGTTCAATTTAATAAATTTTAGTTATAAAGAAGTATATTTAGAAATATATTTTTTTGTCTTTACTTTTTTTATGATTTAATTGATTAAATAATAAAACAAAGTTTAAGTTTTTAGCCTCCCCCCCTCCCCTTTTAATAGATTTCTCCTAAGAAGTAAATTACCAGTGTTTTTATTGGTTGATTTTAAAGTGAACGCGCGTTTTTTCCGGACCGTTAGTAAGATGTTTAAAAATGCTAAACTGTTTATAAAAATATGTATACGTAAAAGTTGATGAGGTTTTTAACATTGTTTAAATATCCATTGTATTTTTTTTTAGATGCATTACTACTTTAATTAAAGTTTGGAATTACTTAACTAAATCATTTTTATTTATAATATCTTGATTAGGTGTTGTTTGATCAAACAATAAACTATAAATGTAACTTAAAAGAGTGTTATAAAAGTAACAACACTGTAGTGTTATTACTTTTGTAGTCATAAATTTATTGTTTTGTTTTTCATAACGTTTTCACTAACAAATTAAAGTTTATTCGCCTATTCCGTAAATTTCGTGGTTTTCCATAAACTGAAACTTTGAAGACCAGATAATTTAACAGATATCGCAAATCGCGATGCGTTAATTTAACCCTTGGAATTATCAGAAGTTATTAGAGGTCAAATTCTTATATTAGCTCAACAAAAAAATTCAACTAGAGATATTGCAAAAATTGTAAATGTATCACAATCTTGTGTTAGTAAGACATTAAGTAGAATTCGACAATGTGGAACATTTTCGTCACGTGGGAGAAGTGGCAGACCAAAAAAAGTGACTGAAAGGTTGACAAGACGCATCAAGTTTATTGTGGAGAATAATCCCAAGCTGTCATCATAAGGGATTCTGGATGATTTGAGTCCTGGAAGCAAGTCTATCAAGCACAAGAACGATCAGACGTGTGCTGCAGATTGATCTGAAGTGTCCTGCTCGACGACCTGCCAAGAAACCAGCCTTGAATGACACTCAACGAAAGAGGAGGTTGGACTTCTGCAAAAAGCACAAACATTGGAAGGAGAAGGACTGGGAGAAAGTAATGTTTTCTGATGAAAGCACATTTGAACAATTTGGGACATAATGTAATTATGTTAGAAGACCACAAGGATTCAGGTATGTTCAGAAGTACACTGTGCCTACTGTAAAACATCCACCGTCAATAATGGTGTGGGGTTGCTTTTCAGCTCGATTTCGCGGCCGGTTACATTTTGTACCGAAGGGGCAGAGAGTAAATTCCCAGATTTATCAGGGAATTTTACAGGAAAAGCTGCTCCCAAGCATGGAGTCACATAGAACAACCATATTTCAGCAAGACAATGCTCCATGCCACACTTCCAAGGTGATGCAAGCCTTCTTCAAGAAAAACAAAGTATCCGTTCTCGACTGGCCGGGTAACAGCCACGATCTTAACCCCATAGAGAATTTGTGGACCATACTGAAGCGTAAAGTGAGAAGAAAGGTGCCACAGAATATTGAAGATTTACAGAGGAAGCTAGTGGAAGTTTGGACAAAAGAGATAACACCAGAACTGTGCAAGAAACTTGTTTGGAGCATGCCACGTCGAATTGCGGCTGTATTAAAGAACCGCGGTTATCCTACCAAATATCTGTGTCTGTGTCTGTGTGGATATATATATATATATATATATATATATATATATACATATATATATATATATATATATATATATATATATATATATATATATATATATATATATATATATATATATATATATATATATATATATATATATATATAAAATTAGACAAGTAAACTATAACGGCTTTTTGTTTTTAACTATTTTCGTTGACACATGTTTATTAACGCATATTTGGCTCAATATTTTTATAGTTTAAAGTATTCATATAGACTTTGCAAATCAACTCAAAGTTACTATACGTATATCTTTTTTATAAAGTGATAGTGTAAACATGGCTACTGATAAAGTTCATTTACGCCATTGTATTTTATACGAATTTCAGCAAGGAAGAAATGCAACAGAAGCATGTAGAAATTTATTGAATGTGTTAGATAAATGTACTGTTTCAGATAGGACATGTAGAAGATGGTTTCAAACATTTCAAACCGGTGATTTCAACCTTTCTGTAAGGAAGGAGGCGTGAACTTCCTGGTTAAATGCACTTCCGCGGTGCTCTGTGACAAGACCGTCAGGTCTTCTTGGGGCACCTAAATAACAAAATATAAAAAAAATAGGAAAAACATCATACCGCATCATGAAATTACCAAGCCGTATGCTAATTTGGGGACTTGTCAAAAAATTGCAGAAAAAAAAACGTTGCGCCCTCCGACTTTCACTTGTTTTTGCCCTTACAAAATTTCTTGAATGGCAAAAAATTCGAAAACTAAAAAGATATCAAACAAGCACTGGTTCAATTTTTTAAATCAAAGAACAAAACGTTTTTCAAAAATAGAGTATACAAATTGCCAACTTGATGGTAAGATGTCACTGAAAATAATGGCAATTATATTATTCAATAAAATTTATTCAAAAATGTGTATTTTATTTTAAATCGAAAACAGACAGAACTTTCCTGTAGAACTAATACATTATATATACATATATAAATTACTGGATGCGGCATAGACTAAATAAATTACATTAGCAAAAGTTGTATATCTTCTAATCTTCCGTTGAAAAAGTGAAGCAAAAAGTTAAACGACGTAAAGTGAAGCAAAAAGTTTAAATGCAAATCCGTTAATTCCAAGAAATATATTAAAATCTGATAGGAACTAAA